GTCGGCAGTGCCTCACAAGAAGCATGAAGAAAGGGCCAACACATGGTCCAAAAATGAGACAGAAAGAAAACAGGGTTTGGAAAGCTCAAACCTGTGACGTTCCACCGTGAAAGTCGAGTCCTCAACGAGCAATCGAACTTGTGGTTGGATGTACTTGCAAGCACAACTAAGTCTTGAGGACGGTCAAAAATGAGGTGTCTACAGTTCCTTTATTAAGAACTATTATGCATGTTTAGTCTTAGACTTTATTATTGAAGACTTATTAAAATTTGTGATTTATTTTCACACCATGGTATTTAGGCAACGACAACAACAGTACACAATGATCTCCCCATTGATGATAATGATGTTGTTGAAGTTGGTAGTGGAAACAGTGGTCCATGGCCTCAGGTAAATGAGGCTCTTTTCATTACCCTCATAGATGAGAAGGTCAAAACCAGGAGTAGTAAAATAACTGGGACATTCACTAAACAAGCTTGGGATAGGTTGAGAGATCAAATGAACACAAAAACCCAATACCAGTATAACACACACTAGCTTCGGAACAAATACAATGAGCTGCATATTATGTTTAACAAATTTACAGCATTACTGAAGCATACTGGTGTTGGTTGGGATAGCCAACGACTTACTATCACTGCATCGGATGACGGTTGGGAGGCCCTTTACAAGGTTTTATTAACTTTTTACATTTTGTTTGCTACATTTAATTAGGGAATTCTTCAGGTTAACCTGAAATTCAATGGTTTGTAGGTTAATAGCCATGCAAAGAGGTTTAGGAAGAAAGAGATGGTTTGCTACCGTGAGTTGTCTCATATCTTAGGAGACACATCCGCAACTGGTAAACTGGCTTACCCTTTTACCAAATCACCTTCTGGAAGTAGTGCTAGTTCTAATCCTGAATTTAAGGTAAAGAATAAGGACTTAGATGCATTACAAATTGATAGTGATAATGACAATGGAGATGGCTAAGGCAAGGGCAAGGGCAAGGGCAAGGGCAAGGGCAAGGGCAAGGGCAAGAGCGAAATAGCAGGTAAAAAGAGTGAGAAGAGGAGCTCTTTTCAAGCTAATATTTCTAAAGCACTCAAAGAAAAGAGTGAAAATAGCAAGAGGAATGTGGACCTAATAGAAAAGCAATTGACAAGTGCTTCAGTTACTAATGTTGGCGATGACAGTGGTTCAATTGAAGGTGGCTCTACTACCTTACGTTCACTACTGAAAGAGTTGCGTGCTATGAAGGAAATTCCTACACCTGTTTACACTAAAGCTGTGAACAAGCTTGCATCGGATCCCATAATAAGTGAGGTATTTGTTGATATGTGTGAGAACCCGAATATACAAATCAAGTAAATAATTAAATAATAATAATTTCACAATCTCAAATATTTTGGTGGTTGTAACATGCCCGGGGCGTACCCGCGCGCGTTAAACAGTTCGGACTCCCGAGATCTCTTTGATCTAGTCTCACGAGTGCAATGTGAAACATAGATGAGAGTCCAAATTTGGCAACTTTTAGAAAATCCATTTTATTGCAAAACCTTGTGCCAGAAATGGACTGCATCATCAGATCTCAGAGTCGCCACCTAATATTTTGGGAAATTAGGAAACCTATGACTCGTGCCAAGGCCACTGTTCGTCATTACCAAAGATGCTTGGCTCGGAACCTTAGGTATAAGAGAGGCAGGTCAATAATGAGCACCCCCGCTCACCCGATCAAAGATCGGCCTCTACTAAACCATGATATGAATTTTATTTTCTTTATATGTTCATGTTTTGATTATTTAATAAATCCTAAAATTTACTATGTGAAGCATACAAGTATAGACTATGTCACCCACTTTGGAACAACTTGATTTCATGTAATTTTGAAAGAGTTTTGAAGATGTACAACCCAAATAAATTGAGTTTACTAACATGAAAATTAACATTATTCCAAATTAAGCAACACAACCTCCATCCACTGGCATTCACATAGTTATATCATATAAGCAAATAGCCTCATGGTAAAATGCTAAACACAGTAAGAAAAACACACACAAACGGGATGCTAAAGCATAAAAAATTACATGTTTGACGTCCCGCAAACAAGCTACAAAACAAAGTTAGTAAAACATGCATGATCTTATATACAAAATCCTAATGCAATTCGCTCATGAGATGCAACTAAAGATTCGGCTTCTAAGATATGACATGTGAATCATCTCAAGAACATAAGATAGCGCACATAATCACATAGGAATTAATTAAATCCATAAATGCAAAATTAACTAAATCAAAATGCATAAAACATGGATGCAAAGTAAGAATATACTAAAAAAATAAAATAAAACAAAATAAACATGATGCAAATCCATAAATAAGGAAAGCAAGTAAAAAAACGGGATAGAAAGAAGTAGGACGGAAATTATTACAATATTTTGAATAAATTATTACAAACCAAATGAGAGAGAGGAGGAAATTTTGCAATAAAATAAAACAAAACCTCACAAAACACTCAAAATAAAAATAAACAAAATAAAACCTTCATGTTCCTTGGAACTGTCGGCGGAAATTGGTCAACATTGGAAGATTACGCCATCTTGTCCAAAAGAAGCTAACCGACCGGCCAAATAGGTCGACCGGCCAACTAGGCCGAGCAAAACCTGTCTTGTTGCAAAACCAAGAAAATGAACAAATAAGAAATATGTAGGTAGCTCAACTAACCACTACCGGTTAGTTTACAACACAACTAATATGAAACAAGAGCAAGCAAATAAGTAAAAAAAAAATTATTATAGGCTAAACAAACCACTTGGATTACAATTACGCACTATGAAATATAAAGTAAGAAAATAAATATGAGATAAACAAACCACTTAGATTATAACAAAACACTATGAAATAAGAAGTAAGAAAATAAATATGAAATAAACAAACCACTTGGATTATAACAAAACACTATAAAATATAAAGTAAAAAAATAAATTTGAGATAAACAAATCACTTAGATTATAATAAAACACTATGAAATATAAAGTAAGAAAATAAATATGAGATAAACAAACCACTTAGATTATAACAAAACACTATGAAATAAGAAGTAAGAAAATAAATATGAAATAAACAAACCACTTGGATTATAACAAAACACTATAAAATATAAAGTAAAAAAATAAATTTGAGATAAACAAATCACTTAGATTATAATAAAACACTATGAAATATAAAGTAAGAAAATAAATATGAGATAAACAAACCACTTAGATTATAACAAAACACTATGAAATAAGAAGTAAGAAAATAAATATGAAATAAACAAACCACTTGGATTATAACAAAACACTATAAAATATAAAGTAAAAAAATAAATTTGAGATAAACAAATCACTTAGATTATAATAAAACACTATGAAATATAAAGTAAGAAAATAAATATGAGATAAAACTCTTTCCTTTGATCAATCACTACTGAAATTTAGCTATTTTAGAATTTTTGGAGTTATTTTGGATGTATAAAATGTGGATTTTCGGTGTATATAAGCCATGGAAGGTGTATATGGAAGATGAAAGTGTTTTTGGTTCAAAACTTGAATTTTCTCCTTTTTTTCTCTCTTTTTCTCACTTTTTTCTCTTCAATTTCGTGGTCCTCCCTCTCTTTTACAATCTGATCATTCTATATAGGCAATGAGGGAGAGTTAAGGTCAAAAGAAGGTGGGAGACAAGGTGGAAGACAAGAATGTGATTAGAGATGAATTTTCAAGGTGGTTGCATGGGATACTCCTTTATGGATGCAAACAAAACCTCTTTTTGACAATAGAGGATGAGTAGATATGTATTTGGTGATATATGGATCGGCCAATGGGGTAAGGGAGTGTCCCACACACAACAAAAAAATGAAAAAAAAAAAAAAAAAAACCTATGCCTGCTGGTTTGGTTTGAAATAATCAAATATTGTTTGAGGGGAAATATAACACAAGGAAAAGCTTTGGCAGAGTGGTTAAGGTGTTGGGTGCTGAGTAGAGGTTAGGTGTTCAAACTCTCTTCCAATCATTCCTTAAATTTATTTTTTTGGGTTAAGACAAGTCAGCGCCGCATAATCAACAAGGACCAATCCAATTATACCATGTTAGCAGTCAGCGTCACAGTCAACATTTGATAGGATACTCTGCATATGGACAGAATATTTCTTGACTTAATAGAATATTCCCTCACATAACAGAATATTCCCTGAGTTTTGAAAATTACAATTTGGCCCAGAAGTTTCAAAGATTTGTGATGTAACCCAGATTTCGGGAGAATTTTTCAGTGAGGCTCCTGAAAGTGCAGCAAAGGTTGATCCTAGTTAAACGAACCATTCCAGACGCAACCGTGAGGTCAGAATATTCCCTTGGAAAGGTAATTTGTGGTTGTTTAGGGTAGAAAACATGGCTCAAATTCTAAGTTTTCTTATTGAGGATTCTGTGAGAAATACTTTCTTGATTTTATCATCGGGTGATCAAAAAGAAGTGTCAAAGTCTTAGGGTTGGTCAAAATAGGGTGTCTACAGTTGCCCCTCTTTGATAGAACTCGAAATTATTTCTTGACGTGAGTGAATGTCAAAGCCTGAAGATGACCCTTTTGACAAGGCCATAAAACTTGGGCAAACAAACAAAATGCAATGCAATTGGTTGAACCCGAGGGTTGTCTACGTATCCTTTTATAAAGAATCAAACCAGCGTAGTTTAGGGGCAAAATGCAAATGATATGCTTGAAAAATAAATCAGACTTACACGCTTCGCGAAGCCATTTTCATGATGCTTATGAAATGGTGCAATGTAATAAAGCAAACTTTAAACATGCGTTCTACATGATATAGCAAATATTTAAAACAAACTGGGACACAAACTTGTATGTCCCAAGATGAACCCACTTGAAGACACATCGTCATGTATTTTGGGACAAAAAAAAAACCTGCTCAGGGTCGCATTCCTGGCGTCCTGAGATACTTTTCCCACGCTGAAATTTTGAGAAGAACTAACTAATTACATTACAAGAGGTGCCAATAACTCCTCCAGCAACTGGTGGAGAACTACTATTATATTTCCCCAAAACGACACGTTCTCTTTCTCCAGTTTGCTGGCAGACACTTGGGGCATCTACAATAAGAAAATTTGAGAATTTCAAGAACCAATTAGAAATACTGAATTTTGTATGCGCCAATAGATCACAGACAGGGCTTTGTGAATCTCTTTTTTTTCTCATTCTTAATGAGTTTAGGTACTAGGAAACTGAAACAAATGGGACTTACAGCTTGGTTTTCTTCTGTGTACTCTTCAGTGGGTCTTGTTGATGGCACGAGTATAGCGACATGTTCTTGAACTTCTCCTTCAAGAAGATGAGTCTTCTCATCGGATTCTAAATCGTTGTTTGGTAACTTTGAGATCTCTTCAGCTGCTTGAAGAGCTTTGTATTTCATTGATGAGCTTCGTATTAGTTGGTAAGTGTAAGTCCAAATGAAGAAACCTTCAAGCACCATGGAGAAAGATGCATAAGACAAGGCAACGGAACTACATGTTTTGTGATTACCAAAAAGGCTGCCTTCTTCAGAACAGATTGCATGGACAACTATCAACATTAGGTTTCCCAAGTTTCCAGATGAACATGTAGCAATGATCAGGCCTTCTAGATGTGGCTTTGGCTTCAATATTTTCACTACTATCCATCCTAGTATTCCTCCAAATAGGAAGGTTAGGCCTACATTACCGTAACATGGATGACACGTCCAAGTCACTACCATAAAAGCGTCAAATGAGTTTATGAAATTTTATGAAGATATTGGAATGGAAAGGCAATTGATTGTTTGGTACACTCCACAACAAAATGGTGTGGCAGAAAGGAAGAATCAAACCATAGAGGAGATGTCCAAGGAAGAAGGATTCAAAGGCTCTCTCTTTTATTCAACAAGGAGTTTCAGAAGCAATCTTTCCAAGAATTATCAATGCAACAAAAGCGAAGGAGGCATGAGATATTCTTCAGAAAGAGTATAGAGGCAACTTGAAAGTAAAAACCATCAAACTTCAATCATTGAAAAGAGATTTTGAAAATTTAAAGATGAAGGATATGGAATTGTCAGATCTGTCAGCCGAGCTTGTTGCTGAGTTGAGCACCGAGCAACCAGCTGAAGCCTCGGAGCCAACTCCCCCATGGCAGCCACAGTTCAAGCACTGGGGGAAGGAGATCCCAGCGAATGCCTCAGTTAAAGACGACAAAGAACATCTCCTGGCTTTCGACCTGACAAAGGCTCTACTCCTGCCGAGCGACGTGACTGGCAGCGACTATGTGCCGAACACCCGGCTCGTGAAGTTCTCGGTCAATATTCCCCTGCCCTGAACTGTTGGAAAATTAAATTGTTGTTTAAGGACTAAACTGTTTTGATAAATTATTATATTATCAATTGAATCAAATTATTTCTGAAACATGTGTGAACTTGGCATACTGTAAACTATTTGTTTTGGTCTCATGTTTATAATGATGAACTACCATGTTTTGCGAAACTGATGTGTATTGATTATTGGGACCATCTATGTATTTAGTCTAGGAAAATTATTCCACTGTGTGTGGTGACTCTGGCCACTAGGGAACAGATTCGGGTTGGGCCGTGATGACTTTAGTGCTCAATGATTGTAAGGAAAAGATCTAGGTTAAGCTAGGTGACCTTCAATCGGATCGTCTTAGAGAAAAGGCCCAGGTTGCCACCATGAGGATGACTCTTAGTTCGGTATTGGATCCAACGGGGCTTATAGCCTTGAGAACTGTGTGGCATATTACTTGTTATTTTCTTGGTACCCAGAAAATTATTGGTATTCATGTTGTAATCTGTTTTAAGTGAAAAATGTCATTTATCACGTTCTCGAGAGACAAGAGTATTTTAATTGTTGAACTGTGGAACCTTCTTTTTGAAACAGATTCTCTTTACCAAACTGTATGCCAATCTAGTTTCTGTGATATATATATTAATTTGGAATTGAACCTTGTTTTCAAAACTGTATTTACTATCCATGTTGCTACTCACTGAGCTATCAGCTGATTTAGTTGTTTATCATTTCTAGGTGTTAGAAGGACATAGAGTGGACTCATGGCGTAGCGGGACTCAATTGCATGGACCTCTAGGACATTCATTTATTTTGTTTTAGACTGTTATGTCAAGTTTGTGCATATTTATATTTATTTTTATTGAGGTTCATTTAGGATTATTTTGATATGTGGGTTGTTTATATCCCATAAGTTTGGATGGTATTGATTGCGGTTGATTTTTCCATTTATACTTGTGGTATGACACTGGATTGAGTTTTGGTTATTTATTAATAGACTATTTATAGTTATTCAATGTGTATGAATTCATATTTAGGCTTACGTGTGCCTTGGGCTAAGGCCCTATGGGCCACGGCCGGTCATACCTGGGTTTGGGGTGTGACAATATGCCTACTAGTAGAATGAGGGGTTGGGTCCTTAATCTTTGAAAGTTATTTTCAGAGAGTTCAAGCTTGGAGTGGTATGTCTTTGTGTTGTTTTATTTACTAGTAATGTTGGATAATATTTGGTAGTTCAATATGTTAGTTCGTTTTGATGTTTTCATGGTATTTGCTGATTCAATGTATTGCCCTTTTTATTTTATTTTATTTGTTTTAAAATTATTAATTATGGAAGCAAAGTTGGGTGTATGCAGCATGTTTTTAATATTGTACTTGAATGCTATTACATTGTGAGTTGATGGGTAGGTATCAAATTGTTGACAATGCACTTGAATGCTACTACTATATTCAATGAATGCTACTGCTATATTTAATGATCTTGAATGCTATTACAATGGAAGTTGATGGGTAGTTGAAGTATTGATCACAAACAACCCAACTTGAATGCTACTGCTATAATCAATGATCTTCTCCTATATAATGCTTGTTGGTGGTCATTCCAAGTTTTATTTTTTTTTATCAAGAGTCCAACAAAGCTTCTACATTGTCAACAATTGGAAAAGGTAAGTATGACCATATTTACATTTGTTTTCTTAAGAGTCCAACAAAAATTCTTACTGCAATATATTACATATATATTTTTATAAAAAAATTTTTACTCATATTTTCTTACTACACTAGACAAACATAAAGGCTCACATTAATATATATATATATATATATATATTTGGGTTAAAAAATTTGGTATTTTCCATGGTATTTAGGTTTCACTACATTTGTCTCTAGTAGTAATAAATTGATGAGAAATATTATAACATTATGACAAAAATATGCACATGGAAAATTTGGATCACTAATTTTTGACCTCTCACTTTTATTTGCATAATGTCCATGGCATTATTTTGGTGATCAAGATTTTGCGTAATTGTAACAATGTTGATAACATTATTCATATGGAAATTATTTTATTTGGTTTGGTTTTCAAAATCTGTTTTTAGATTTGAAAAAAATAAAAAAATAAAAAATTCTTCTATGACCATATTTTCATGTATTTTTATTATCACTAATACTTTTATTTTTAAGGGGTCAACACAATATCACAATGATATATATGGAGCCGATGCATGCTCTTGATTTGAGTTTTGACTCAGACAGTGACGATGAAAATATACAATTTCTGGTGTCTGTAGCACTACATGAGTATTGTGATACTTACCTTCAACCTAGACCATTCCAAACGTCCATATTACAAGGACATGACTACGTATTAGAAATATTGAATGGAAATGAAACAAGGTCCAAGGAAAATTTTAGAATGGAACCAGATGTATTTATTAGTTTATGCGAGGCACTTAAGGTATATGGTAAACTGGAACACTCACGTTATCTAACTGTCCAAGAGTAAGTTTGTATATTTTTGCTAACAATTGGTCAGAACGAATGGAGTCGTATTGTCCAAGAGCGATTCTAACATTCTGGCCAAACCATCTCCAAATACTTCAACCGAGTCTTGAAGGTAATGTGTAGGCTTGGTAAATAAGGCCTCTAGATTTTGATGAGATGCCTACAAAAATCTGACATAATCCACGATTCTACCCTTTTTTTTAAGATAATCACATACATAATATTTGAAGTATATTTTCTAGTAAAATATCTTTCATTTTTAAAGTCATTTGTCAAATAAGATTGTGTTGGAGCAATTGATGGTATCCACATATCTGCAAGGGTGCTAGCATTAGAGCAAATACCATATCGGGGTAAGCATATTGTTACAACGCAAAAGGTAATGTGTGTTTGCTCATTTGACATGTGATTTATGTATGTATTGGCCGGTTGGGAAGGCACTGCAAGAGTGTTCGTTGAAACCGTACATGATCCAGCAAATTTATTTCCAATGCCACCAAGAGGTACGTATTATATGGCATTTTATTAATTTATAATGAATATTCTTCTGCCAACCTATAATAATAGATACATACATGTTGAACAGATAAATACTATGTTGTTGACTCGGGTTATACAAATAGGCCTAGCTTTTTATCGCCTTACCGTTGTGAGAGGTACAAACTAAATGAGTTTCATACTCAACGTCGACAACTAAGAAACAAGAAGCAAATGTTCAATTATCGACACTCCTTGTTGCACAACGTGATTGAGAGATGCTTCAGTGTTTTGAAGGCTCGTTTTCCAATTTTGAGAGACATGCCTCCGTATTCAACTAAGACGTAGAGGTACATCCTCATTGCATCTTGTACAATATACAACTGGATTAGGATACATTCTCAAGGTGACACATTGTTCACTGAATGGGCAATCCAGATCGTATCATTGAAGATGCTAGGCCTAGTGGAGGTGGTAGTAGCAGCTCGACACATGCAGGAAGTAGTTCTCAGTAATCAATTGACGTAGACATTAGTCAACCTCTATTACATCACATGTCTGATGTAAGGAATCAAATTGATGGTCAAATTTGAAAATCTGTCATAAACAATTGAAATATTGTTTATGCGTATAATAGATTGTGGAAGATGTTTTTTATAGTTTGTAGAAGAATTGAGATATTATTATTATGGTTTGTAAGTTGTTATGAACATTACTAATATGGTTATTAAATTTATCTACGGTTGCTATTGTATCAATATGGTTATTATGGATGCTTATTATAATGTGTATGATCCCATTGTCAAAAATAAAAATAAATAAATAAATAAATATTATAGGCCTTAACAAACATGTTTTTTAGTTTATGTTTTTAAAATTTTTCAAACATTTTGTCTAAACCAAATGCGTTTATTATTTATATTTTTCTAAAAATAAACAAAATTCAGTTTATAAAATTTTTATAAACATAAACAAAAAATATAAACGTTACCAAATGCTACTTAAATGACTCAAAATATAAATGCAAATGTTTTTGTTGACGTAAACTTAGGCCAAGTTTGGGAAGACTAAATAAGTGCACTTTTTGTCTTTTTGGACTAAAAAATTGGGGTTGAAAATATGGATGTTTGGGTTAACTTTTTGACTTTTTATTGAAAAATGTGTAATAAAAAATTGTAAAAATTGATTTGTAGGGAAAAATTTGAATTGAGAGTTGTGCAGCCGTAATTGTTGACTTTTGTGTTGACTTTTGGTGAATAGTGTTAACTTTTTAACTTTTTGAGTAACTTTTTGACTTTTTGACTTTTTTGAAACATCCCAAACTTGGCCTTACTATCTTTTTGTCTCATAAAAGCGCTCTTTATTTTATTTCTTGATTTTTAAAAGAATCCTAATAAGTTAGCTTAATTTTTAGGTTCCTTTGGGCACAAGTTTGCACTACAGC